CGGGCTCCAGTTTTGTTTATAGATTTAAGTCGATTGTGATGTTATTCGTGTGTTCTTATCAAGAACACACGATTAATATCATAGTCAACAAAAAATCCGTGAAATTGAAGAGTCAGACTCCCTTCCTCGAGTATTCAATTCTAATAGGTATTTTCTTTTCTTCTTTCCGATTTATTCTAGATTTCATCTTCTTTTTCTGTTTCTCTGTTTCTTCTCTTCTTCTTAATTTCTTCTTGAATTATTCAAGAATCATTTGCATATGTAATTCTGATTTTCATTTTTGTTAGTATAGTTAGACTGTAATTCAGCCAATTTGGATTTGTTAGTTTGGTAATAGGTCACTTAGGCTAATTTTAAATTGTTAGAACATGACAGCATGTATTACTTGGGCTTGCAATTTGTTAACTGGATAAATGCTAATTGGGGCCATTTGGTTGTCTGATCCTGTGGGTTGGGTTTTGTTTAAGTTCAGACTCACTTTGGGTTAGAACAGTTGGGTCGAATTTGACCCATGACCCATAGGTAAGCTAAAGTAAAACAGGGTCTCAAAGGGGTATTTGGGGTAATTCAATCAGGGAATCTCTCCCTAACTGCCTAAGAAACCCCTAGAAGCTTCTAGCAAGGGCTTGTAATTAAATTGCAGGCCTTAACTTGGAAAACAAGTTACAAATTCAGGGACCTAAGAGGTAAAATAAAACCTTGAGGTTGCCCTAATTGCTTGCCTATAAAGGCATTGCATTCTTGCCTTGCAAGGATCAAATTTCAGAGGGGATTTTGGAGAACTTTAAGAGCTAAAAATACATAGACCCAATATAGAACCTAGAGATCCAAAAGGCTGAAAATACAGAGAATTCAAGAGCAAAAATCCTGCAAACTTGAGATACCTAAGAGTTAGAAATTCAAAAAAAAACTACTATTCCATTAGGCTTTTCATTGATTTTATCCTTTTTCAACTTCTGAAATTATTTAATTTCATCCGAGTGAGAAATGACTTGAATTTGTTTATCAAGAGCTTTAGTTAAAGTTGGCTGGTCTGTTGGTTGTTCAACATTTTAAACTTGGAGTTTATTATACATCATTCTTGGGGTTGAGCTGTGTTTGGTTAGCTGATTGTTGCTGATTCCTGTTGTATATGTGCTGATCACCCACCCTTGTTTTCTTTCAATTTCCAGGTACTCATCCCTGAAACTCACAATGTGATATTCAATTGAAAACTAAGAAATGAAGCTGGAATTCTGATGTTTAGATGCTAGACTTGTAGTTAATAGTTATTTTCATTTCTATTTCTGTATTTTACTCTTTTTAAATGACATGTGTTTCAGATGAGAATTTGATTTGGTTTTGTTAAAATAATTGGACTCTGAACATGTTCAATCCTATGTTAGAGCATGAGTATTCAGATCAGTTTTGCATTGTGTAGATTAGCTACAAAGGGACTGTGTAAATGCTCTTTTTTGTTGGGTTAGTATTCTTCATGAAATAATTATGGCATGTGAATGAGTTTAGCTAAAAATGGTAGAGATTTTTTTTTACTATGTATGAATTTTAGATTTAAATTCTGGGCATCATGTGAGCGTGTTAAGATGGTCAAGTAATTTTGATTTAAACGTTATTTTACTGATAGTTGTTGTTTTCAGCAATCAGTTATTTAGCAAATGGAATTAATCAGTAGTTGGATGCCTCCAGGGATTCGATCTTGAGTCCCTCAGCTATAACACCTTCAAATTGGGGTTGGTTTGTTTTCAATAATAGGGCTTGCATATAGGTTCAAGTTTAGGCCCAATAAAATATTGATGCCCTCATTTTATTTGTTATTTGCATAGCACTGATTGTTCAGGCATTAAGAAGCGGAAATTGGGCTCATCCTTGAGCCCAAAATTGAACAGTCTTTTACAAATGGGATTTGAAGTATGTTCTTTTCTCTGGGCCAAGTATTCGCTACCCTTCCTTTGTCCAGGACTGGGCCTGAGTTAAGCCCAAAGCTTTAAAAGTCCTGGACTAATGTTTCTTTTTGTTTGATGGTTTAAAAATTAGAATATGAGCATTGGGCTTTCCAAGCTAAGCGGCAGATTCGAATTAAGGACCTATTCAATAATTGAAGTATTCCTTGTTCGAGTCTGGGCTTTATCTTGGGGGCCCAAACCTGCCTTTTCTTTCAAATATTTTTCTTTCTTATTGGATTGTGGCTTATTTGCTTTGGGCCTAGCTTTCCCTTTGATTAAAATAATTGAGTCCTTCCCATACAAGCCCTTTAATTAATTAAGTGGAACTTAAGTTATAGCTAGTGTTAATTATTTAAGCCCTTTAATTAGAATAGGAGTTTAACCATAATAGATAATAATAGTTCATGACTCTCCGAGCCTTAGTTAGGACATCCTTTAAAAAATGGAATTGAGATACGCCGCGCCAAACAAAATCACAAATGCACGGCCCTCTTTAATTATTTCCTTTTAAAATACTTAGAATTCGAGGCGTGCCATTTAGCAAATTTTTATGGCCCTCGCAAAGTTAACAACGCGTTAGTTGCTTTTGGCGCGTCATTTAATAATATTACCTTCTTAAACTCGGGTGTGCATTTCATGTGACCCAAAATTCAAATCCTAAAATGTTGAATAAAATGTGTTCCGGATTGCGGGTGCATTTCATGTGACGCGATCCAAAGACACGTTTTAGACGACGTTCAAGTTTCTTTAAAATTAATTAAAAGTGGTTAATAGTTTAAAGTAGCATCATAGGTTTGAACATGTATTAAAATCAGATAATAAGCCAATTGTAATAGTTTAAGTGACCTTGCTAGAACCACGAAATCCGGGGGTGCCTAACACCTTCCCCCGGGTTAGCAGAATTCGTTATTCAGAATTTCTGGTTTGCAGACTTCACAAGGAAAGTCGAATTCCTCGATCTGGGATTTAAAAATAAACCGGTGACTTGGGACACCAGAAAACAAACCATCCCAAGTGGCGACTCTGAATAAAAAATAAATAATTAATCTCATTTCGAATAATGTCACTTTAATTGGAAAAACTCCCTTATATACTACCCTTCGGGGGTAGTGTGTAAAAAAGGAGGTGTGACAGTTGCATGCTTTAATTTGCTTCCTATGCCTTAACTTGCTACTTGTCACTTAATGTTCTCGTATTGAAATGTTCGTTTCTTCCATGCTTTCATGACTAATTGCTACTTGCCTTAGTTGTCTTACTTGTACACTTTAACTGTCATATATTTGGCTTGTCTTGTTGCTTCGTATTAGTTGTAACATTCCTTGATTTGGTACAAGGTTCCTTTATGGCTTTGCCTTCATGATTCTTTAATTGTTGAGATTCTTGTGAATTGAGTTGTTGAATTGATTACATTCATTGATTTTGTTTATTGATCGAATTGCACGCAGCAACGGGTGGAATAAGGGAGGATTGATATTGATATGGTGGGATCGGGGTGCACGCCGCAACGGATTTTATATGTGATTTTGATATGGTGAAATAAGGGAGGATTATGATATTGATTTTGATTATATGGTGGAATAGGGTTACGTGCCGCAACGGATTTTATATGTTATGCTTGATATTGATATGGTGAAATGAAGGAGGATTATGTTTGTACGTTGGGATCGGGTTGTGCGCCGCTCGGATTGTGTGTTCTGTATTCATTGTTACATTGTGTTAGCTTTTGGTGTTTTCATACGAGATTCTGAGGACTGATGTTTCTGGTTTTACTAGTTTCGAGGATTGAGTTTATTTTCATAAGTTGACCGCTTTACTTTTACTGCGTTCCTTTCTTGTTATCATCACTATACTGCGTATAGGTTATTGTAAGTGGCCTGCCTTAGCCTCGTCACTACTTTGTCGAGGTTAGGCTCGGCACTTACAGAGTCCATGGGTTCGATTGTACTCATACTACACTCTTCACTTCTTGTGTAGATTTTGGAGTCGATCCTATCGGCGGTCAGTAGATTGCTTGGATTGATTACCTGATGGAGACTTGAGGTACAGCTGCTCGGCGTTCGCATCTCTGAAGTCCCCTTCTACCTTATCCTAGCTGTTTATTTCATTTCACACAGTTTTACTTTCATTCAGACCATTATTTTTATTATTCTAGTCGCTCGTGCACTTGTGACGCCAGTTCTGGGATTGTATCTAGATATCGTTGTTGTTATGGTTTTCTCACTCTATTTCAGTTTATTTAGTTTCTTGGTTACTATTTAATATGAATTGTTAGAAAAGGACTATTCTAACGTTGGGTTGCCTAGCAAGTGAAATGTTAGGCGCCATCACTGTCCCAATGGTGGAAATTTCGGGTTGTAACTCTCATACCTCCATAATCTCCCCCAATACTTTCATCCATGATCTCAAATGCTTACTGGCATATTTATTGATTTCTTTTGGTACACCTCTAGGTAGTACTATAAATAGAGGATGAGAAGTCATGTTGTAATACACTTGGAAAACACTTGAAAGAAATAAGAAGCCCTCTACATTCTTGTTTATTTTCTTGTTTCATATTATTAATTTAAACTTACTTTCTTAACAAATTACGAATAGTTACATAAAATTAACGGGATGCTGATACCAAATTTGAACGCATGTGGTTGACTATGAATTGTTTTTGTGGTCTGGTTCTATTAGATAACATGATAGTCTAAGCACTGTGTGTTATACATTTAGCACATTTTAATTTGAGATGTAGCAGTATACATTTGCTGATAAATCGTCCCAAGAAAGCTCAACTTTTCTGACCCATCATCCTCTCACGTTAGGCTGGAATTGTACCCGCCGAGTATAATAGTTCATTCGATTGTAATAAGATCAAATGATGCAAATCAGTGAAACCCCATGCTTTGACAGCAACCTTGTATATTGCTGCTAACCTGCTTCCCTTAATTTGAGACTAGTATTATACTGCTTTATCTTGTATGTCAAACCACATAAAAGGAAGTTGCCCTCTCATGAAGTCAGCTTCCAATACCCAGACTTAAAGGAAACAAAAGAAAGGCAATTGAAAAGTAAAAGAAATGGCATTCTGGTACCATCATTTTGAATAACAGCAACAAAAGCTGGATAATCAAAAGGTCGTTAAACGCATACACACTTTATTTTTCGCTTTACACGCAGTTAATCTCAAAATCCAATATTAACCCTCTCTATCTTGGCTGTTTAACATCCTAAGTATATCATGATCTGATGGATCCATAACAAGGATCGGATATGTACCAGAGACATCACAGCTTGTATGAAGTTCTTTTGGACGAAAGAACACGCTATGCTATTTTTTTTTTATATTTTTTTTTTTTTTTTGCATCTCTTAGATTGTCTCTTTAGCTGCAACAACTTTCCAAATTGAGGAAAGAACCAGCAGATACCAGAGACAAGAAGAAAATGAATAGCTCATTATGCAGATAAATCTAAAATAATGCAGATACAACATGATGAGAACAAAACTTGTTTTTGTCTTCTTAAGCAGTGACCTCGGTGAGAGTTTGTTGAACTGCTTCTTGTGTAGGAAGGGAAGGGATTCCTCCTCTTCCTGTCACTGTCAGGGCAGCACAAACATTAGCGAAAAAGAGAGCTTCCCTTAACCGCTTCTCATCCTGCCAAGAAATTATAAAAAGGATTTCCAGAGTTAGGAGCTTGATGTTCAATCAATGAGACAGGCATGATGAGATCTAATTAATGTAAATAAACAACCAGAGAAAGTGCCCACTAAAAGGAAACAATAGAATCTTTCACAATGTTGGGATATAGTTAGAGAAAGATCAGTAACACTGATGAAAGCAAAACAATGTTGAGAAAGACCAATTAACCGGTGAAAGCAAAACAATCTTAACTTGCTGGGGTGTACCATCAAGCTATCAGGGAATAAATTACCCCCTTCAATCAAATCAGTACAGTCGTGAAAGCAGTGAACTGTTAGATTGCTTTTGACAGGGTAACTCGATTTTCACCAGTGCACTGCTGGAAGGATTTTGCCCTCAAAGCCAGATGACACGGTTAAAATTGCAAAGTCAATATGAAGCAGCTATTTGAAACAACAAACTTCTAGGTTTATTCTCCCTATTTATTAACTCGTAAGAGCAGACGCTAGAATTGGGGGGGAGGTATGCAATTGTGTGAAGATGTCATAAAGGTCAAATCAAACACCAGGGTTAACAAGGGGAAGAAAGTATGACAAGTGAAAACACAAGATCACAGTTAGAAGCATGAACAATGTGAAAACTACTATTGGCTTTTTTGCTATCCAAATTCATGCACCTGATAGAGATCAGCATCAGAAGCTAGACACTTGAGAATTCCACCTACAAATGCATCACCAGCACCAGTTGTATCAACAGCTTTTACTTTAATCCCATGTACTCTTCCTTTGAATTCCTGCATCAATTGAGTCAGAGAAATTATACTTATTGTTTAATACTATTTGGTAAAATTTAATGCCCGGGAGGCTGAGACATTTCCGTCTTCAGATAAAATAAAGCTGTAGCCGTATAGTAAAATCTTCAGCTTTAAGCATTATATGTTAATTTTCTCACAAAATCAAAGAAAATTTGTGGATAAAATAGGGAAAAGAATACCTTGGTGTAATATCTACAACCAGCTGAACCTTCAGTTACAAGCAAAAGCTTCAGAGTAGGATGGAAAAGCCTCTTCAATACCACCTCATCATCATTTGGATCATCAGCTCCAGTCAAGAATGAAATTTCGTCCTCACTTATCTGCATGTGAACACAGTATTTCATTGTTAAAGAGAACTCAGCAGGTGATGCATTTATGGAGAAAAGCCATACCTTAATAACATCTGCTAGGTTCCATACACTCATTATTCCACTTCGAGCAGCATCTTCTGAAGACCACAAGGGCAATCTCAGGTTAGGATCATACGAGAGTATGCTACCTGATCTTTTGGCAATGTCCATTGCAGCAAGTTGTGTCGATCTACAGGGTTCTTCGATCAAACTAATTGAACCATAATGGAAGATGGTGGCCTGGACATGATTAATACGCCTTTCAGGAAATCTTGCATTGAAGCTAAATGAAAAACACTTCTATGCATTGATAAAGCAGGAATTTACACCTTTTTAACAAGATCTACATCGAGTTCTGACTCCCGAAGAAGCATATCAGCACTAGGATTGCGGAAAAACACGAATTCCCGCTCACCTTCAGATGTGAGTGTAACGAAGGCCAGTGCAGTCCTTGCATCATGGTCAAAGCGCATGCCAGAATTGTCAACATTGTGTTGCTTCAAAATGTCAGCTAACATACGCCCGAAGTCATCCTCACCGACCTAATTCAAAATGAACAGATCTTAAAGCTATCTATAGGCCGCATTCGAAGTCATCGCCAATTAAAGGTTTCAATTAACAGTAATAATCAGTACAGAAGCAAGGGCAAAAAGTTCAGTCCACAAGATGAACAAGCAACAAAAAGAAAGTACATAACATGACTAAGTGGATCCAGTGCAGGGTCTTGAAGCAATAAAATTCCCCATCTCAGGTCCATTGTATTGATTGATGAACAACATATACAGAAACTCAAAACATATACAAATGTTAATGCAAGCACTGTTCCAAATTCTTCATTTGAAAACTAGTTGGATGATGATATATACGTAAAGCATGATGACACCAATAGACTGTACAATCTGTTTTCTGTTTCTATGCGATTGAGCAGACTGTAAACTAGCCTATCTCATAGTATGAAAAATCATTTACACATTTATCCACTCACAGAAGGCAGAAGTAGTGATTTAAACCTTTTTTATACAATGGTAAGAATTCTTAGCATTTTAAAAAAGGAAAATAGCGATTTAAATTTTTTCTTTATGAATTCCTTCTTTTTTTTTAAGACCAAACAAAAAGAATAACTTAGCCTAACTATTTGCATGAGATACTAAGAAGGAATCTGTTTTCAGTTTTCGATTTCAGAGTGAACACAACCAAAAAATTTAGGCATGCATCACTGGAATTCAACAATTGAAAGACAATTACTGAATTGAATTTTAGAATTAAGTATCAATATAACACAAGTACATGGACAAGGCAGCGTCGGTCTTGTCCATGCTACACATGTCGCAGTAGAATTGCACTGCGTGGTTCTTGTACATATTTAAGCACCAAAAAATCAAAGAATTCTTGCTCCCCATACAGTACGGCAAAAGCAGAAGGACAACTTCAACAATTCAAAGTAGGTACCCTCTGATACGAGAAATTTGTAATCCAATTTCAGACATGTACTTATAGAACATAATAAAAGTTAGATCAAACAATTTCAACCTCTCACCCAAAAGAGAAAAAGGAGCATCCTCGTCCAAACAACCCTCCATTACTGCATATAATGAGAATTAAGAATAATAGGGAAAAAATTGTACCTTCCCAATAAAAGCAGAAGAGCCCCCCAACTTCGCAATGCACACAGCAACATTAGCGGGTGCACCACCAGGAGCTTTTTCGAAGGCAGGAGCTTCTGCGAGTGAAACTCCACCAACAGTTGGGACAAAGTCAATCAGCATCTCTCCAAAGCAAACAACTAAATGAGACTTCTTTGTTGCCGCACCATTCGTGCTCAAAGAAAGATCTTTCAAATTGCCTGCAAACATCCAAAGTTCAGAACTCAACGGAGCTTACAGACAATGAGCCAAATGACCAAGTTCTCTTGAATTAAATCAAATCATAGCAGCTTCTAAATTAAAAGCATCAAATTTTTTATTTTAAAATAAATAAAAACTGAAAGTCTGAATAATCAAGGCTTAGTTCCAATAAACACAATAAAATTTAAAAGACAACACTTGAAGAGAACCACAAAAGAAAATATACTGCCGAAATATGACCCATTTGACCAATTTTCTTTGACATAATTTCTTAATAGCAATATAAGAATCTCGTTCAAGTCTTAAATTAATTTTTTTTTTTTTTGAAAGCTAATCAGATCAACTACAATTACAGTGTAAAGAAAGAAACACCTAACTCTTCTTTAAAATATGATGCTTCTATAATGATCATTACAAAAACAACAACTCAAGAAAGCTACTATCATGAAACAACAAAGATCGAATATCTGAAGAAGATTCAAGATAGTATAGAACCCTGAAACAAATAAGCAACTACAACCAGAATTCTGAAACAATAACAGATAGAGTATACATTCAATAATTGTAAATGTAAGTTCTATGTACCCACTAAGAGATAGATGCAGAACCTGAAATCGATTCGTCAGCCATATTGTGATCGACGATGAAATCTTAGTGCTAAAAGTGGTTGCTTTGGAAATATCACAAGAACACGCACGCAAAATCACAGGCAGAGCGAGAGAGAGGAAGACAAGAGCTAGGCGTTTGTCGCTAAAGAAAGTGAAAAATGGTCTATTTTCAATAGGGGAATCTTGAAAGAGAGCTATAGATGGGTTTTTGAAGTTGACAAGAAAGTGTAAAATGAACAAATTGCTCTTTTTCCTCTTTCTTTGCTGACACGGCATGTGTCTGAATTTTCTTTTGCGGACTCGTGAATATTCTCAAATTTTCTGTTTGTGAAAATTACTATAAAGTGGTTGTTACTTTGATTAAAATCTTGTGATTAATAACTTCATTAGGGGATTTTAATTAAATTGGAGTCCTTGTATAATGGATAATTAACAGAATATCATATCCTAGCTTGAATCCAATTTAGCGTTTTTACTTGTAATTTAAATATACTCGTGGCACAGTTTCACGTGCTTAGTGCAGTTGCTTCGATTAGTTAAATGGACATATAACAAAGATTGAGAATATAACAAAGATTGGCAAAGGAAAACAGTGTTTTATGCAGAATTTTTAAATCGAAACCCTGTATTAGTTATGCAAATGTAAATTTTTTATGTAAAATTCATGAAGGCTAAACTCCTAATGCAGCTTACAATGACCCTGAAATCCGAAACCTTACTAGAAAAAACATTATCAATATATACCCATACATTATCCTCCACTTTGTAAAATAAATATATATCACATACTTTACATCAACCAAATATTATAATTTGTAAATGATCCCAGACAATTATTTTCTAAAAGGTAGACAGATTTTTGTGTAAAATATTTTTTATGAAAGATGTTTTTATCCATACCAAAAACCCTCCTAATATACAACGGAATATACTAACAAGTTACAACTATAAATGGTTGTACAACCATCAAAATATGCAGACAAGTTGTGTTTCCTTTTTTTTCAGCTAAGAATAAAAGTAAGTTCCCAAGTTTGAATTGTACAGCTATATGCGAATTCTTTTACGTCACTGTTTCACGTATTCTGAATCCATTTACAGCTTTGATTAGTTGATATTTCACATCAATTGTCACGACAAAAGCTAAACAAGTCGAGTTTTATAGTCTGTCAATTGCTAATGATGTTTGACATATATAGTACTCTAATTATAAAAGCATCTCCTAGTACGATTCATGCATATGTCAAGTTTTTTGGTCGTATGGCTGATGGTATAAGATTTAATGTATTCCAGCATAAATCTTTTATAAGTTAATATTGTACTAGTATTTTTGATTGATCATATAATAAAAATAATCGTCACATAACTAATGCTATATTTGGTTTGTGGTATTATATAGGAGTAATATTAACATTAAACTATGCGGCAAGCTATGTACTGTTTTTTGTGGGACAGACCATGGAGTAATTAAGAATATGTGTATTAGTAATGCAAGAATTAAACGATTTAAATATAAAAATGCCCTTTTAAAGTAAGTGATTCATATAATTTCTATACTATGAATCACCATATAACAATTCTTTCAAAGGTATTAATTATCGGATAAATAGTCATGAAAAAATAAAATAATTCTCACATCACTAATATCTGAACCAAACCACACTTTCTCTTTCTCCCATCTCAAAGAAACAAGTCCAGAAACGTAATGATTTTTATTCTTGCCAAGTACCACAAAGCTGAAACACAAGAGGGAGGGGTGAATTGTGCCCAAATAAAAGTTTGGTTGACTAATATAAGTACTAGTTGACACTGAGTTAGAGCAGAACAATAAACAAAGATAATTATACAGAAAGTAATAAAGAAGGCACAAAGTTTTTATATTGGTTCATGTACCGATGTGATACCTATATCCAGTTCCCTTGGATCACGAGGGTTCTTTTAGTTCTTTAACAAGTAACTTGTTACAACAATCGTGGTTTTCTTGCCTTTACCACCCATGATGTACAGTTGAATGTTTCATAAATACTTGACACAACCTCTTGCCTATTTGCTATCTCTTCATATCTTTTGTGACACTAGTAAACTCAAGAATATAGTTTTTTTACTAAAAACTACAAAGATGTATATGTTGAAAATGCATAATTTCTCATCTGTTCTCAATTTTTCATATAGACGGATCTTGAGTTATTTTTGCACCCATATGACCATCAAGGTTTGCGAGCAGAATCTGAAGGATTTCCACTGATTAAGGCAAGAAATATTATAAGAGATTCGACCCAAGGGTTCGCTTCTGAATCCAGTCAATAGATGAGGACTGGATTCAAGTGCCAACTTTGCTTTCCTTTCTTGTATTTGCCATATCTTCAGGAGCAATTCTTCGACAGGTAGTTGATTGAAAGTTGATCACTCGATCTTCCATCTGTTAGGCTTATTATTTAAATATAATAAGTGAAAGTCCCTTGGATGATCAAGGGTACTTTCGGTATTCTGTATTTTCTTAGGGATGACTTGGTAATTCTGTTAAACTGTTAAACTGACTCATTTAGCTTCCAGATCATGTGCACATGTGCATTTTGGCAGACCACTTAATTTGATTTCATTGGTTTCCTTTTTGTTATTTTCCTTTCTCCACTTTCTCTCTCCCTCTCTCTCTCTTTCTGGATCCGTGTGCTTTCTCTTTTATGCGTTCTCTGTCTCTCTTCCGGTGAGTTCTTCTTCCTACTTTTCTTTTTGCTCATTTTTTGTTCTAAATCTTTTGGTTTGTGTTCTTAATCCTTTTATTTTTGTCTTTTACTTCTGTATGTACTTATTATATGTTTTTTGATATTTTTTTTGGAATTCTCTTGTGACTGTTTCAATTTTCTTGCTACTAAGTAGCAGAGAAATGAAAGAATACGAAGAAAATAGTTCTTTAATTCCATTGCCTTTCCTTCTTTTTTACAAACATGCATACCAGGTTCTCGTCAACTCCTCATTGTATTAGCAAGGAGAGCCCAAGTGAATTATACAGAAACTGGAATATAGTTGTGCCTCATGTGTTCCAATCCTGTTCAAAAGTTGTTCTTTAGTGTTGCATGTGTTAGCTTGGTGATACATGATTCAACAAGTATAATTTTTTTTAATTTTTTTTTTTTTTTTTTTTTTGTTTTTAGTTTTCTTCAATTGTGATCCTATCATTAATGGCTTCAGTTTCTAATACCATTGTCTTGCTGGTTGTTGGTTTGATTTGTTGGGTATTCAGCAATTTTTGTATTTTGTTCTAATGAATTAGATTCAACAATATTTTGGGAATGTTATGCAAAACAGCCGAAGATTCAGTTTGAGTACAAAGCCAAAGGCGATATCATGGAAATGCTATACTTTTTTGTTAGACCGACACTCAAGATCCAGTTGCGAGCAATAGTGTATTTTCCCCTTTTACTGCCAAGAAATAGTCTCTGAATTTACTAGCACTAGAATTAGATGTGAGTATCATATTTTATAGGCTAAATCAATAGTTTGCACGATTAAGTATGTTTTTTTTTTACTAAGTATGTTGATAGAAGTTAGAGTCATCTAATGCGTCTTGACACTCTTAGGTTCCTTATATTTCTCAAATGACCTAAACTCCGTACTGTTTAATGATAATATTGATGTAGAGCGAACTTTGTTAGTGCTCCTTTCAATAGGTTTGAGGAAGGCTTATTGAATTACTTGCAATTTAATACCTGAGATAGGATATCTATCCCCTGATAGGAGAAAGCTTACGAACAATATTATGGTTAAGATTTATGAACCAAATATAGGCTGTTTTTTATTTTAGATGCTACCAAATTATAGCGGCTGAAGTGACTACCTTACTTCCTGATTCTAAAATTGAAGTTGAAAAGGCAAAGTTGTTAAGCTTAGAACTTATATTGACCTATTAAGATGTATTTTCTCACCTTCCTCCTTCTGTAGCTTTCTGAAGCATGGCTTGAGCTTGTCCACCTTTGTAGATAATGATCTTATCGCTACACACTCTGCTATGGGTAGATCGAAGTAACAAGATTTTATATATACACAGTGAACCACATGTAATATGACTTTGAAGTCTATGATTCAAGATATATACACTTATGTTATTATGTCTCTGTTAGCTTTTGATTTATCCAGCTAAACTTTTGTATGTTCTAGTAAACCTTTCCTTGTCTCTATGTCATTGATGACACTATTACAATCTAAATGCTGAAAATGGTTTTTCTTATTGCAATTTAATTTATTTTCGGCTGAGAATGACTCTTTCTTATTTGCTGATTTTTTTTCTGTTTCATAAATTTCCTACTTCAGGCTTCTTTTTCTTTCCATGGGGGACGTGAAGTTGACATTGACTTTTCTTTATGAGGCTAGCCAAATTATATTACGTTTCTTCTTGACTCTTAACTTGTGTACCGTTCTCTTTTGGCTTCTTTTAAATAAGAGAAACTATTTATCTTTATCTTACTTGAATAGACAACTGATATGAAATTGGGGTTTTGAGTCCAATGTTTTTCCTAACGGACCTTTGTCGGCTCATAAACTGGAGTACGAACAATTATAGTATGTCCCCTCATCTAATATAAAATCAATGAGTAGATTAGGGATCATTCCTCCATGATATGTGTGAGTAATATCGCTCTTGTCACTGTTTGATGATCTGTGCCTTATTATTATTATTATTATTATTATTATTATTATTATTATTATTATTATTATTATTATTATTATTATTGTAAATATCTATCTTCCTATACTTGATCACAGCTATTAAGTTTTTAGGCTTCCTATACATGATCATTGTTTGGTCATAGCTATTATTTTTTAGCAGATTCTAAATGCAGAAGTGGGGCTAAGAATGGTGAAGTAACATGTAAAAAGATGACAGCTTGGGCATCACTATCACTTTAATTGGATACTACAAAATACTGGACAAGATGCACCTTGCTAGAGCGTGCGCGGATGGAAACTCAGTGGTAAGGTGGAAGGAGCCTGTAGCGAGGATGTTTCTACCTAGATTATACATTTTTGGAGTTTGTATCGTATGAGTAGCGTAGCACCAGTCATCATCTTCAGATTTCAACTCTGGAAGACCGCCTGTAATGTGGTAAATGTCCTGCTAGCTATTGAATGAACTGCTACATTTGCATACTTCTCCGATTAGAAACTTTCTCTTATTGGATTTCAAGTTTAAGTAGGATTTTGTGGAGGTGTTACAAGGTTTTCTTTTACCTTTTGGCGGGGCTGAGTGCGTGCACTGTATAGTTTGAACCCCTTGTGTTGCTATAAATATTTACCTGTCAATAGCATATGAATTTCTATTACAAAATATTTACCCAAGAGTTCATCAAGTTAACTGTATTCAATTTAAATTCTACTTTACTATAGCATCTAACTGATGATTCCTTCGCATAAATCATTTTGGCAGGAGACTAATATGGTATTGGTGCTGTGGAAGGCAAGGAGTGCACCAATGCTGGGAAAAGGACGGTTAGTAGCTTATCTCACCATGAAGGTCATGAGGTATTATTTTTTCTAACGACCCGATCGGTCGCTTTGAGCTCTAGCGCATCGTTCAGCGGTTTGAGGCCTTAAGTAGCTTCACTTCAGGTATTATGATTTGTACATGTGGACGAAATTGAATTTCGGAAATTTCGGAGTTGATTTGGAAAGAAAATTCTAATTTCGTTAGCTTTAAGTTGGAAGAATTGGCTAAGGTTTGGCTTTTGAGTAAACGATCTTGGAAACGGGATTTGAAGGTTCCAATAGCTTCGTATGATAATTTCGGACTTGGGCGTATGTACGGGCTAAGTATAGGATTGCCAGGGAGCATCTCGGTGCTTACTATAGAAAGTTGGCATTCTGGAAGTTCTAGAATTTCATAAGTTTGGTTTGAAGTGGATTTTGATGTTATCTATGTCCGTTTGGAGTTTCGAGCCTTGGAATAAGTTCGTATCGTGATTTGTGACTTGTGCGTAAAGTTTGGCGTCATTCCGGAATGTTTTGATATGATTCGGACGTGTTTGTCGAAGTTTGAAAGTTGAAAGAAAGACTTTGATCGTTGATTCATGATTTTGATATTATTCGTTGCGTTTCGAGCCTTTGGATAAGTTTGTATAAGGTATTGAGACTTGTTGGTGTGATTGGACGGGGTCCCGGGGGCCTCGGGTGAGATTCAGGATGGTTTCGGACCAAGTTTGGGTGTTTTGATATTGATGGTTTCTAGTGTTTCTGGTAAGCATCGTGATCGCGGTTGAAGGGACGCGATTACGAAGAGAATCTGGGGATGAAGAGGTTTTGTGCATCGTGAACGCAGAGGGGAAGCTAAGGCAACCTACGCGAACGCGACAGGGAGGTTGCGAATGCGTAGAAGAAAAAGAGGATCTGGGCCTGGAGGTGCTAGGCCATCGCGAGTGCGGCTCAAGGACTGCGAACGCAAAGGTGTGAGACGTGGAGGCATCGCGAACGCGGAAAGGCCACCGCGAACGTGAAGAAGAGATTTTGGGGGCAGGGCTGTTTGGCTTTCGCGATCGTGAAGAGGAAGGAACTCGACAGTGGGTTTAAAATTCGGGACTTAGCCCATTTCTCTCACATTTTCATTTGGTTGAGTGATTCTTAGAGCTCTTGGAGGGAAGATTTCCATCATCTATGTCAAGGTAAGTAACTCCAGCACATTGTGAATTAAATACATGGTTTATGTATAATTTAAACATGGAAATTGGTAGAAATTTGGAATTTTGAAGAAAACCTAGAAATTGGTATTTTTGGTTTTTTATCACGAAAAAATGGTCATGGAATTGGAAATAAATCATATATTTGGGTTCGTAACATTATTGGTAAAGTTTATCTTCGAGAAATTTCGGAATCCGAGCACGTGGGCCCGAGGGATGACTTTATCGACCTTTTTAGCGAAGTTGAGAATTGTTTAAGTTGATTAATTATGAGTATTAGAGTATATTTTTATTGGTTTGCACATTGTTTGACTAGTTTTGGAGCGCGGGCATCGGTTTGAGGTGTTAGAGAGGATTTGGGGCCGGTTATGGAACTTCGGAGCGAGGTAAATCTCCTGTCTAACCTTGTGAGTGAGAAACTACCCCCTAGGTGATATTTATTGTTATGTGCAACTAGTTGTGGGTGCTACGTACGCACGAGGTGACGAGAGTCCAAACGTAGCTAAAGCGTGTTTATGTCCTGGTAGACTTAGGACTTTATCATGTAATAATTGAATTATTTGAACTCGTTCTGCTAGCTTAATTAATTCGAGTTAACTCAAATTGATTTAGAAATAAATATATGTATACTAGGCCAAGCCTTATCACCTTGAGTTATTGGCTAGTTATTTGAGAAACGGTAAAGATTATGTTCACTTTGTGCTCATGTACTGTATTGTAAGCACGTGTCTCGTGATTCGATAACTTCCTTCCTTTTCTTGTGAAGAGGGCCGAACGTCGCGGCATTATATAGATGCATCTATGGTTCGTGACGCACGACCCTCGGCAGTGTACACATTATTCTGGATTGGACCGAACGACCTCGACAGAATCGTGCGCTATATCCCTAGTAGTCCGAACATTCACGAGCTAATGTTTCCACTAATGCCCGGCCTTTTATATGATATTCCTTATTTATTTGATATTGGCACTTGGCATTTTCCGAGCTGTTAAAGGAGAATACAAGATTTATAAGTTCATGCTTTAAAAGAAATAATTGAAAGCTTATGTAACTTACAGATTTACCTCATCATTGCCATATGCTTCATATCTGGTTATGTTTTATTATATTGGTTTATTAGACCTTTGTTAAGTGTCGATGTCGACCCTCGTTACTACTTCTCCGGGGTTAGACTAGATACTTATTAGGTACGCGTTGATTTACGTACTCATGTTGCACTTCTGCACTAAATGTGCAGGATCTGACAGGTCATTTGGTGATGACCCTTGCGCATAGGCGCACCTGTTGAGGAGACTTTATGTGAGTAGCATTTCAGGCTACACATCGCAGTCCACCGAGTCTCCATTGTACTAATTATTTTACCCTGTCTTATTACATTCGGGACAGATGTATTATTATTGTACTCCTTAGAAAAATGCTCATGCACTTGTAACACTGGGTTTTGGGGGTTCCTGCAAGTTGTGCATTATTGTAGTTCGTGTAAATATTATCATTTACCCTGTAAATTCTATTTTTTCATACTATTTAATTAATAAAAATTATGATTTCAACATTCTAAAATGAGTAATTAAATTGATAAATCAATACTGGCTTGCCTGACGATGGCGTTTGGCGCCATCACGACCTATAGTGGATTTTTAGCCGTGACAATTTTATCTTACGATTGGAATTTTTATTAGTCATTGGTGATTAAGTTGGTACTCTAAGGCTGCTGATGGTAATATTTCTCCTTATAGACTGAAACTTATACGGACTACTTGGGAAAAGGTTGAATATTTATGATACCAATTTGCCCTTAATATATACAGCGTCAGGTTTTCTTGTCGTATGGCAGCAGTTTGGGATTTCTGCTAGGTCAATGTCTGACACAAGATATTGGAGGTTGGGTGTACCTCTTCATCTAACGTGTTATGCTAACATCATAGTCTTATAGCTTCTTCGTGCGCGGAAGATTCAACTAATAGAGAGACATTTAGCTTGATTTCATTATTAATTGTTTTTAGCTAGATGTATGGTATTTGAATATGGTATTAAATTTAAATATTTCTTGCTAGGAAGCAAGGTCTATACATCTAGAACTTCCTTAATAAGTTTTTTTTATTGATAACCTCATTCAGAACTTTCTCTACAGATAAAGAAGTGGTTTCTTTAATTTAAAAATAGTAAATACATTAAATATTTAGTTTGGTCGATAACTCATACTTTAAACCTCTTTGGCAGATGACAATGCATGATTCTCTATAATTTGTTCTTGATGAAGCAGTATCTAGGATCCTATGGTATTTTTGTTGGAGTAAGAGGTACAATTGAAGCTCTAAAGTTTCTCAAAATGTTCGGCATCTCCAATATTTTCTTCTTAAAAATATTGATTAGCAACCAGATTTTCTTAAAAACAGAAAAGAAATTCTGTTAACTCAGGTTGGTAAGTACCATATAGCCTTTGAAATTTGAAATCTTACACTTTATCTCTCTTATTTCCAATTCTTTGATTATTAATGTTATGCGTGAACATCATTATGTTGTTTTCTAACTTTTTGTCCCTCCGGATTTTGAAGGTTGCTTTTAGATAAATATGATCAAGAAAGTTCTGCTTCGTTTTATCTTTCCATGCCAAATGTGATTCTCGCTTGTTTGATTTTTCGCTTTAATATTTCTATATTTATAGTCAATATGCTTATTGTTTGTTTTTACCTTTGACGTTAATATATAATATTTATCCTCCAATTTACTGAATGATGCCCAAAATTTTATAATAAATACATTCTTCAAGTTGCACCACATAGCTAATTGACTTAATTAACTTTGTTTCCGAGAAGCAGCGGAAAGCATTCTCTAGATTGAGTATTACCTTGTTCGGCTTGCATCAACCATTGAAACTATTCAGTTTCGTAATCTGCTTTGGAGTTTTTTATTTGTAATCTGACTTCAAACTATTTTGTTTTTGTAATCCGTTGAATGATGGAAACACATACTATATTAAACCTTTTTTTGGTCATCTTTTAGTTGTACAATGAGCACAAACGATGTCGGGCATAGGCCCATGCACAGCACGGGCACCGGCCATCTAGTTAGTCAAGAACTCTTGATCAAGAAGAAGAAGTAGACTATTAGAGAGAAGAAGAAAGATTGATTTCTTATTCAATCAACTGAATCCATTTTCGTACACAAGGCTACTATTTATAACTACTTATAACTAACTACCGGAGTATACAACTAATAATACTTAATGCTTATAAATGACTCTACTTCCTTTGTATCAATTAACACTCCCACTCAAGCTAGGTGTAGTAAAGATGTTAAATAAATCTAGCTTGGAGTTGAGATGCTCATGTTGAACTCGATTGAGATCTTTGGTGAGAATATAAGCAGGTTGCTCTTTTGTAGTGATGTAGTTGGTGATGATCAGGCCTTGTTGTATTTTTTTCTCTTATAAAATGACAATAAATTTCTCTGTGTTTGGTTCTCTCATGATAAACTGGATTTGCAGTTATTTGTATAGCTTCCTGACTGTCTGTATAAATGTTAACTGGAGCTTTAAATTCTGTGTCTACCTCCTTTAGCACACTTAGAAGCCAAACCAGTTCTGCTACAGTTGTTGTAAGGCTCCTATATTCAGCTTCTGCAAAGCTCCTAGAAACTGTAGTTTGCTTCTTAGACTTCCATGATACTATAGAGTCCCCTACTTTCTTCCACAAGTTTTGAACTGTTTCCTGTGATTAGCATATCATCAACATGTACTAGGACGATAAAAATGCATTCATTTGTCCTCCTTATGAACAAAGAGTGATCAAATTGATTCTGTTTAAACTTGAACTTTTGTAGAGCTTCAGACAGTTTTGCATTCCATTGTCTTGGTGCTTGTTTAAGTTGATACAAGGATTTAACAAGTCTGCACACTGATCTACTCTCCCCCTGGCTGTTAAATCCTTGAAGCAAGTCCATATATATTTCATCATGAATATCTCCTTGAAGAAATGTATTGTATACATCCATTTGATGTATGTGCTACTTTCTTGCTGCTACTATTGTCAGTATAGTTCTTACAGTGACCATCATCACAACAGGTGAAAATATTTCCTAGTAGTCAATTCCTTCTTGTTTACTGTACACCATTGCTACTAATCGAGATTTGAATCTTTCAAACTCTCCTGATGCTTTGTGTTTTATTTTATAGATCTATTTACACCCTATTGGTTTTTTACCTTGTGGCAGACTAAAAACATCCCATGTATGATTAGTTTTAAGTGCCTTTATCTCTTCATTCATGGCTTCAACCCACTTAGGATCTTTAATAGCTTCGAAGTATGTAGCAGGTTCGAACAGTAGAAGAAGAAGCAATATATGCTTGATACTTAGGTGACAGATTGTCATATCCTATGTATCTGTTTAAGGCATAGGGTACATCCTGATGTATGTTAAGAGAAACAAAATCTTTCATCCAAACTGGAGGTTGTGTGCCTCTACTTGATTTTCTGGTGGCAGGTTGTTGTTTTTGGTTAGGTTGATCATTCTGATGATTCTGAGTGATAGGCATAGCAGGTATAGGCTGCTGCACAAATGTCTCTTCTTCAATATGATCTTGAGGATCTGAGATGTGAGCTGACGTTTGATTTCTATTGTGAAATTTGTAGGAGCTTCTGTTGGTGTTTGAGTACCTGCAGATTCATTCAGTCTAGTAGGGACATCAAATATAATATCAGAAGTATCTGTAAAGATCCCTGAGTTTGGTGTAGTATCTACAAACAGTGACTGAGTTGTGAACTTTTATTTAGTGGAAGGAAAACTCTCCTCTCTGAAAGTGATATCTCTGTTGAAAAAAAGAGTGAGTATACAGATCATACAGAACATATCCTTTGTGTATCAGTACCTCATATGAGCAGCCATTCTAGCTCTAGTAGCTTGTCATGTTCCTGTACTATCTTAGCAAAACATAGACATCCTAGTACTCTTAGATGTCCTAGGAAATGTTTTATGTTATGTAGCTTCTCATAGGGTGACATATGAACCACAAAACTAGGCATTATGTTTATTAAGTAAACTGCAGCAAGAATGCAGTGTCCCCAGAATTTGATGGGAATCTGGGCTTGAAATCTAATAGCTCTGGTGACTTCTATAATGTGTCTGTGATTCCTCTCAGGTACACTATTTTGCTGAGGGGTGTATGCACATGTCCTTTGATGTATTATTCCTAGATTTTTAAATAGAGTATCACAGATAGAGTTCACAAACTCTGTCCCATTATCAGTTCTAATTATCTTGACTTTTTGTTGAACTGTTTTTATACAAAACTGAGGAAATGTTGAAGGCAAACACATATATCGGACTTTTATTTAAGTAAAAATACCCATGTATTCTAGAATACTCATCTACTACAGTTAGAAAGTACTTGTTTCCATCAAATATAGCTACTTTATATGGCCCCATACGTCCATATGAAGCAGATTAAAGGGACTAGTAATTTTAATACTACTTGAAGGAAATGGAAGTCTTGTTTGATTGGCACATGGATATACGATGCACTTATTCACTCTATCTCTAATAGTTTGCAGATTAATAGAAAGTAATTTTTGAAGTCCTATAACAGACATATGACCAAATCTCCTATGCCACCGGTCCACATTCTGACTCTCATCTGTGGATGTTCCAATTTCTTTAGCAAACAAATTGAAATTTATGAAGTTCCTTCTCTCAGCATCCATTTGTAGTAGATATAGCCCTGCTTCTTCTTTACGAATCTCCTTCACCTTCCTTGTGAAGAGATCCTGGAAAACACATAAATCAGGAAAAAACATGGCTAAGCACCACAGTTCTTTTGTTAGCTTGGAGATAGAAAGTAGATTGTATTTAAATTGAGGAACATGAAACACATTTGTTGTAGTATTTCTTTCTGAAATAAAGATAGACCATGTGTGTGTGACATGAGATATATCACCATTTGGTAGTAGTACCCTTTTTGGATTATTTGTCTCAACTACTGTGTTCTAGTTCAGTAGATTTATATCAGAAATCATGTGATTTGTAGCCCCTGTATCTATGATCCATTCCTGAGATGATTTAGACACTGGCATTGCCCTATCAATATCAGTACCTGCTACATTGGCTGCAGAGGTTGGGGTTGTGATATAGCTTTTGTTAAGCATTTGCAGAAGCTGATCATACTACTCCTTTGTAAGAGCATAGTTTCCCAGCTGACATGTATTCTCTTGATGTCAGTAACCTCACTTATTGAGCCTGAAGGTTGCCCCAAATTTCTTCCACTAGTATGATAAAAAAATATTTGTATTCTGCCCATAGTTAAATGTAAGGACTGAATTATTGTCTGTGACTACATTTACATTATAGGATGCATTATTGTTTTCCACATTTCCTCTCCTTTTTGGTTTGAAATCTAGAGGATATCCTACAATCTTAAAGCAATTTCCTTTGTTATGCCCCTTCATCTTGCAGAAATCACACTGCACATTGTAGTTTTTCTTGAACTTCAGATGCTGGTTTCCTCATGTTCTTGTGTACATTGCAACTTCATAGTTTGTTGAAGTTAAGGCAGGATTAACACCTAGAATTCCTGTAGTTGCTGCTACTGACTTCTGCCCTTCATCACTCACTATTAAGGATATGCTTGATTCACTGTAGGAGGGACTCCTCATCAAGATTTGACTTCTAACTTGAGCATACGAGTCATTAAGGCCCATATGAAACTGATATAGTTTCAATTTCTGCAGATACACTACAAAGTCTTTAGACTTTGAACAATCACAACCAGGAGTGGGAACTAGGGCCTCAAATTCCTCCCATAGATTCTTGAGTTTTGAAAAATAAAACGATATAGATTCAGTCCCCTGACTCAATGTTGCAATATCTTTATGCAGATTAAAGTTCTTGAATCGCCTACTTTATTGGATCTTTCAGACATATCATTGCATACGGCTTGAGCACTAGACGCATACGTGATTCCACCTAGTAAATTCTTTGAAACTGAGTTCATTATCCAAGATAAGTCTATCGCATTAACCCTCTCCCAGTGATTCCACATAGTGTCTGGAAATTTCTCTTTCTTGCATGTTCCATATATCATACCTAGTTTGTTCCTACTCAATGATGCAATATGCATAGAATGATTCCAAATAGAGTAGTTCTCCATACCTGTCAACTGAAACGAAATTATTTGAATTCCACTCACATCAGTTGGCGACAGAAACAACGGATGATTATAATCGATTCCTGCAATCGGAGATCCAGAAGTATGATTCGATCGATCTCCTACAGCTGGAGTTCCAATTGTTTGCCCTAATTGCTCTCCAATTGATCCCATTTTTCACTCGATTTTTTTTTCGAATTTGAGTAGAGTTACTAGAAATGAAGACTGATTTAGAAATATCAATGAAAGCAAGCTATGAATTCATGCTAATAGCTCTGATACCATATTATTAGTTAAGAACACTTGATCAAGAAGAAGAAGTAGACTGTTAGGGAGAGGATAAGAAGATGATAGAGAGAAGAAGAAAGAGCTTGATTTCTTATTTAATCAACCGAATCCCCTTTCATACACAAGGCTACTATTTATAATTACTTATAACTAACTAACGGATTATA